CTAGACCTGAAACGTCAGCCTTCCTGCTCCTCTGATGCTGCTTGGCCTGCTGTGTTCATCCAGCCCTGCACCTTGTTATCTCAGATTCTCCAGCATCTGCAGTTCCTACTATCTCTGAAACACTTTTCAGAATATTTTTGTTTTTGGTCAAAGTGCATTTTGGGAACAATCGATTCCCTCGAAACTAGACACCTGCCAAACTACATTACCCAAAGGTCTGCGCGACAACTTCCGCCCATAGCCGGAAGCACTCTTCTGAAAGCCGATTGGTTATTCGCCTGGCGGTCACTGGTGATGCTGTTAGGAAGACGCAGGCGCATTTCCGGTTAGTGTGGGTGAGAATCCGGATGGACTGAGTGGTCGCGTCGCTGGAGCTTGAGGAAAGTCGCAGGATCAGCGGTGTACCTTGTGGGTGAGTGTGCGGTGGACTTCCCCTCTCTGTCTCAGCTTATGGAGGCCCAAAACTGTGAGCCGAGACCGTGATTAACGCCGGGGTTTACGTGGAGTTTTGCGCCGGGCCCAGGCCGTAATTAATGCTGACTTTAGCGCTGATCCTGAGTTAACGCCGAGTTTTGCCCCGGGATCTAAAATGTGCGGCGCGGTTGAGGCTGATTTTCCTGTTTGTTGCGCATCCGCGCCGTCACAATGTGGAAATATGTGTCTCCTGGGCTGTCCTGAAAACTCCTGTTTGGTTCATATCCACTGAAAAGGGATTTGTGTTTGTACGGATCAGTCTGACCCTGAAACTCGCTTCGGTAAATGCTGCTGTTTTCAGGTTTAACTCTTGGTTTTTCGGTAGATGATCATTCTTTCTGTATAAATCAGCTTTGCTTGGTGTCTGTAACAATTTGGCATATATGATTAATATGTTGATTTTCAGCAAACGGGTTGTAACTCTGACACCTTTGGGACATTTCGATTAATCAAGTTCATTCCATTCACAAAAGTATGGCATTTATCGACCATTATCTCTCCCCATGCAGTCGTCTTGGGCACGATTCTGCATGAATGCTCCCAGTTAAAGACAAGACTGTAAGATATAGGAGCAGAATGCGCATTCGGCCCATCAAATCTGCTCCACCATTCGATCATGGCTGATGTGTTTTCCCAACATTTCCTGTATTCTCCGTGTAACCCTTGAACCTAGCAGTCTCTGTCTTAAAACCACTCAATCGGCTGGTGTCAATAAATTCCACAGATTCATCACCCTCTGGCTGAAGAAATTCCTCATCTCAGTTCGAAAGGGTCATCCCTTCAATCTGAGGCTGTGCCCTCAGATCCTAGATTCTCCTACTAGTAGAAACGCCTTTTCCAAGTCAACTCTATCCAGGTTTCTCAGTATTCCGTAAGTTTCAATCAGATCTCTTCTCTCCACACTCCCCCCCCCCAAACTCCATGTATCACATGGCCTTATTTTCTCCCCCATATCCTGACTACTGCTGGGAGGCCTGTACGTAACTTCCATCAAAGTCATTTACCCTTTGCAGTTCTGCAGCTCTACCCCACAGATTCTACTTTGCAATTCTATATGATTTTTGCTATCAATTTAATTTCATTTCTTACTAACAAGGCAACCCCACCCCCTCTGGCCATCTGCTTGTCCTTTCAATAGGATGCATGTCTTTGGGTATTTGGTTCTCAGCCCTCATCCCCTTGAAGATGTGTCTCGGATACCCACAACATTGTACCTGCCAATTTCAATCTGCACTACCAGCTTATTGACCTTGTTTTGTGTACTGTGTGCATTTAAATATAACACCTTTAGTCCTGCGTTGATTATCTCCATCCTTATGTTTGAACCCTTATCTGCTGTGCCTGAAGTTAGATGCCTGACCCTTTCTGTACTGTGTCTTATTAATTGTTCTGAAAACTTTAATAACCATGGCTGACAATTCCCCCCGCCCCACTTTAACTTTTTCCATAATTTTCCATGCAGGTGAACCCATTCCGGCACTATTTAGTTTAAAGCTCTATCCACAGCCCTAGTTGGATGATTCACCAGGACTTTGGTCCTATCATGATTCAGGTGGAGCCTATCCTATAAGAACAGCTTCCTCCTTCCCCAGTACTGGTCCCAGTGTCCCATGAATTTGCACCCGTTTCTCCCGTGCTAATCTTTGAGGTTCGTGTTTCCTCTTGAGTTTTGTTGATCCTGTGCCAATTAGTTTATGGGTCAGGTAGTAATCCAGAGATTATTACCTTCTTGGTTCTGCTAATCAATTTAGCCCTTATCTGCTTATATTCTTCCTATATCATTAATACCTACGTGGCCGATGACAACTGGATTCCTCCTCCTCCTCCACCACCACAACCCCCACCCCCCGAACACACACATGCACACGCACACGCACTCACACTCCAAGTTCCTCTGCAAACCAGACGAGATATCCTGAGCCGGGGCACCAGGCAGATAACACAGCCTCCTGAACTCTAGATCCAACCACAGAACTGTGTCTGTTCCCCTGATTACAATGACATTTCTCTCTTCTCATCCATCTTGAATGGCTTCTTGTACCTCCTTGCTGTGGTCAGTTTGCTCCGGCTTCCTTTAGCTCTGCTGTCATCCACATCGGGAGCAGGAATCTCAGACAAAAATAGAAATTGCTGGAAAAACTCAGCAGATCTGGCAGAATCTGTGAAAAGAAAGCAAAGTAAAATATTTCAGGTGCAGTGACTCTTCAGAACAAGAAATATAAAACATATCTGTAGCCTCCTCGCAGTTATCCTCCACACTGAATTTTTTTGTCATCTGCAAATTTGACGATATTACATTTAGTTCCCTTGGCTAAATCCTTTTTTATTCATTATTGGGATGTGAATGTCACTGGCTGGCCAGCAATTAATGTCTATCCCTAGTTGCCTTTGAGAAGGTGGTAGTGAGCTGCCTTCTTGAATTGCTGCAGTTCATATGGGTCAACCCACAGCATAATGCCATTTGGGAGGAAATTCCAGGATTTTGACCCAACGACAGCGAAGGAGCAGCGACCTATTTCCAAGTCAGGATGTTGAGGACTTGGAGGGGACCTTTCAGGTGGTGGTGTTCCCATGTATCTGCTGCCCTTGTCCTTGTAGATGGAAGTGATTGTGGGCTTGGAAGGTGCTGTCTAAGGGTCTTTAGAGAGTTTCTGCAGTGCATTTTGTGATGGTACACACTGCTGCTATTCAGCGTCGGTGGTGGAGGGAGTGGATGCTTGAGAAACATAGTGCCAATCAAGTGGGCTGCTTTGTCCTGGATGATGTCATGCTTCTTGAGTGTTGTTGGAGCTGCATCTGGGGAGGCAATGGCCTTGTAGTATAATTGCTGGACTGTTAATCCAGAGACCTATGTAATATTCTGGGGACCCATTTGAATCCTGCCGCAGCAGGTAGTGGAATTCAAATTCCAGTATATCTGAAATTAAGAGGCTAATGATGTCCACGAATCCATTGCCAATTGTCAGAAAACCCATCTGGTTCACTAAGATCCTTTAAGCAAGGAAACTGCCATTCTTACCTGATCTGGCCCCTGTGTAATTCCAGCCCCATAGCAATGGGCAATTAGGGATGGGTCTAGTCAGTGATGCCCTCATTTCGCCAATGAGTAAAGAAGAAAAATGGTGCTGAATATTGTGCAATTGTTGCCAAATAACACATTTCTAACCTTATGAAGGAGGGGAGGTCATTGATGAAGCCACTGTAGATGGTTGGGCCTAGGTCACAACCCAGAGGAACTCCTGCAGAGATGACTTGGAACTGAGTTGGCTGACCTCCCGCAACCATGACCATCTTCCTATGTGCCAGATATGACACCAGCCAGTGGAAAGTCTGTCCCCTAATTAGCATTGATTCCAGTTTTGCTAGGGCTCCTTGTAGCCATATTTGGTCAAATGCAGCCTTGATGTCAACAGCTGCGACTGTCACCAGGGCTCTTCTGTCTTTGTTTGAACCAAGGCTGTAATGAGGTCAGGAGCTGAGTGGCCTTGGCAGAACCCAAGCTGGGCGAGACTGAGCGGGTTATTGCTGAGCCGGTGCTGCTCGATAACATCTTCCATCACTTTACTGATGATCGAGAGTAGAGTGATGGGGCCATAATTGGCCGGGTTGGATTTGCTCTGCTTTTTATGTACAAGACATTCCTGGGCAATTTTCCTCATTGTGAAGTAGATGCCAGTGTTGTAACTGTACTGAAAGAGCTTGGCTAGGGGAGCACCATCTTCATTACTGTTGTTAGAATGTTGTCAGGACCATAGCTTTTTTGTTATTCAGTGCCTCCAATATTATGTGGAGTGAATCGGATTGTCTGAAGGACTGGTATCTGTGATGCTGGGGACCACTGGAGAAGCCGTTCAACACTTTTGGCTGAAGATTGCTACGAATGCTTCAGCATTGTGTTTGGTACTGATGTGCTGGGCTCTTCCTTCATTGAGAATGGGGATATTTGTGGAGTTTCCTCCAGCAGCGAGTTGTCCCATTGTCTACCACCATTCACGACTGGATTTGGCAAGCCTCCAGAATGTAGATCTCATCCTTTAGTTTTGGGATCACTTGGCTTTGTCTGACATTTGTTGCTTATGTTGTTTGGCATGCAAGTTGTCCTATTAGTGGCTTCACCATGTTGGCACTTCATTTTCAGACCTGCCTGGTGCTGCTCCTGCCATGCCCTCCTCCACTCTCCATTGAACCAGGGTTGATCCCCTAGCTTAATTGTGATGGTTGAATTGGGTATATGCAAGGTCATGAGGTTGCAGGTGATGCTGGAGTACAATTCTGTTGTTGATGGCTCACAGCACCTCAAGGATGCCCAGCCTTGAGTTGCTAGGTCTGTTTGTCTGTCCCATTTAGCACGGTGATAGTACCACACAACACAGTGGAGAGTATTCTCAATGTGAAGGTGGGACTTCCTCTCCACAAGGACTGTGCGGTGCTCACTGTTACTGTCATAGACAGATGCATCTGCAGCTAGCAGATTTATATGGATGAGGTGAAGTATTTTTCCCTCCTATTGGTTGCCTCGCCATCTGCTGCAGAGTCAGTCTAGCAGCTATGTCCTTTAGGTGATGACCAGATTGATCAGTAGTGCTGCTGTCGAGCCTCTGCTCGTGTTGGACAATGAAGTCTCCCACCCAGAGTGCATTTTGTATCCTTGCCATCTTCAGTGCCACCAAGTTTTGCTTAACATGGAGGAGTACTGATTCATTAGCCAAGAGAGAACGGTATTTGGTAACTAGCAGGAGGTTTCCTTGGTCCTGCCTGTGTTTAACCTGAAGCCATGAGACTTTGTGGGATTCAGAGTCAATGTTGAGGATTCCCGGTGCAACTCCCTGCTGACTATATATTGTGCTGCTACTTCTGCTGTGTCTGTCCCTTCAGCTAGCTGGAGTCCAAGCACTGATCCCTACTGTGGAATGTAAAGTTGCTACAGTCCCACAAATAGGAAGGCTTTAGAGGGATATGGGCCAAATGCTGGCAAATGGGACTAGATCAGCTTAGTATGTAAGGTCGGCACATATCAGTTGGACCGAAGAGTCTGTTTCCATGTTGTATAACTGTATGATTCAATAATTGAGGATCAAAGGGGTTCTGAAAGTGCACTGAACTGCAAAATCTTAGGAAGTTAATATCTATTGCCTGAACCCAGGGACTTTTTTTTTACAATTTAAAATTAGGTGATTTTTAAACATGTTCGTTTTATTTCTCATTTATGCTGACAAGAAAAACATGATTGCTTTTATAAGCCAAAATTCTCATTTTCACAGGAAAATGAAGGTTGAATTTCTTTATGAACATTTAAATTATTTCTGAACTGAGCTTCATAAGTCAGTTCAAAGTTTTTGGAGATGATATTAGAATGATTATTATGTAAGTTTCAATTTGTCATTTCTGAACTTTACTATCGAGTCATCCTGTAATGTTCTAACAAAAATAATCCCAATTTTTCAATTATTTCTTATTGCACTTGCTGATTCCAGGCAGCATCCCAGTGATTCTGCAGTATTGCTACAAATATCTTGTTTATGATTCATGCCCTTTAGGACTTGAATGTAACATTTAATTTTGAGAATTAACTGTAAGAAACAGGGTAATCTGCTTGAAAACTGTTTAAAAACAACTCTTAAATGCAACTCATTCCTGTGTTGGATACCTTTTTAAGGTCAGGGTTAATAGCGCAAGACTTTACAGGCTTAGAAATGGATCATTCATTTAATGGAACTGGGGATCTGGAGAAAAAGCTGTAAAACCCAATTAGCAATATCAATTATTCAAATCAAAACATTGTATTGGAAGTAAAATAATTTGTTTGCACTTCTGTTGTAACCAATACAAAGCATGCCACATTGGATAATTCAGAGTGAAATCTTGTCAGGAAGCCTTTTGTTTAATATATCTGTCTGCATTTGTTGACAGAAGCAAGCAGTACAATTTAGACTGAGACTGTTGCAGACTTGGTCTTGTGTAGAGTGGGGAGAACCAAAACCAATGATCGTTAGTTAATTAAGCCTTCAAGCAGAGAAAATACTAACTTTTTCACTCCCACATGGGACGAGATATCACTAAATCTTGGGTTGAGGTTATGCAAGGACAGAGCATCCCTCCTGAACAGTTTGGCCCGAATTCTCAGACAAACCTCCTAGTTCTAGAATCCCGAACCAGTGGAAATAGTTTATCTTTATCTATCCTGCCCCTTCCTATTAATATCTCGAAGAATTCAATCAAATCACTCCTTAACCTACTGAATGCTAAAGAATTCAGGCCTAATTTGTATGATCTCTCCTTGTAACTTAAGCCCTGAAGTCCAGGTATCATTCTTAGTCATTATTGTTCATGGTGTATATAGATTATATAGAAGAAAATGTAGCAGGTGAGGTAGTAAGATTGTGGACGATATGCAGATTGGTTGGGTGGTTGACAATGAGAAGAAATATCTTGTGTTACATGGGGATATAGACAGGTTGGTTAAATGGGCAGATCAGTGGCAGATGAAATTTAGAGTCTGTAGGTGTGAGGCTGGAAAAGCATAGCAGGTCAGACAACATCCGAGGAGCAGGTAAGTCAACATTTCGAGCCAAAACCCTTCTTCAGGACTGTTTCAACCCAAAACATTGACTTACCTGCTCCTCAGATGCTGTGACCTGCTATGCTTTTCCAGCCTCTCACCTATAGACTTTGGCTTCCAGCAGCTGCAGTCTTTATTGTCTCCAAGCAGGTGAAATTTAACTCTGAAAAGTGTGAGGTGATACACTTTGAAGAAAGTAGCAATGCAAGGGCATACCCAATGAATGGCAGGACACTAGGAAGCTCAGAGGAACAGAAGGATCTTCGGGTACTTATCCACAGATCCATGAAGGCAGCAGGATGGGTTAATAGGGTATGTAAAGCACAAAGACACTTGCCTTTATCAGTTGTGGCATAGATTATAAGAGCAGAGAGGTTATGTTGGAGTTGTACAGGACTTTGGTAAGGCCACAGGTGGAGTACTGTTCACAGTTCCGATCACCACACTGTAGGAAGGATCTGGTTGCCCTGGAGGGGATGCAGAAGAAATCTGCAAGGATGTTGCCTGGGATGGAGATTTCAGAAAGGCTGGGTAAACTCGGGCTGTTTCATTTGCAGCAGATTAGGTTGAGGGGGACCTCACTGAGGTATATAAGGATGAGGGGCATGGACAGGGTTGATAGAGAGCAGCTGTTCCCCTTAGTTAAAGGTTAAATTTTAAGAAATCATTATTTTAGGTGAAAGGTAGGTGTTTTAGAGGAGATTTAAGCAAAACCATTTTTACCCACAGGGTGATGGGAATCTGGAATGCACTACTTAGGATATTAGAGGCAGGAAACCTCTTAACCTTTAAAATGTACATGAATGAGCTCTTGAAATGTCATAACATTAAAGGTTAAGGACCAAGTATTCAAAATGGAAAGTGGGACGAACGTAAATTTTGGGTAGTTTTTTAGTTGTTACCTACTCAATGGATCAAAGGGTCTCTACTGAAGGAGGGGGGAAATGACCATCCAGTTTATTAAATCTTTGATCATCTCAGCTTCTGCTACTGCATAGGCAACTTTTACAAGTGAAGAATTAATACTTAATAAAGTTTAACTTTAGAATTAAAACACCTATTCAAACTATTCATTTTTCCATACAAAGGTACTTCTGAACTGTTGCCAAAAATGGCTGACTGAAATACTTGAAATAATTCTAATTTTAAAATGTAATTGAATTCTAGTGGGTAATTCCTTTTCCTTCTGTTTCTGTGCAGATTACATAAAACGTAAACCATGAAGAATCAAGATTCAGAAAGTGAGTTCAGTCCACCTGCTGATGGTCATGAGAGTATAATGGTTGGAGGTTTATCAGCTGAAGGGGCAGATATTGTTGGCAGAGAGGATACTCTGGATGTTGCTCCATCTACTGGACCTGAAACCAATTATGAAATTTGCAAAAAATCAGATGATCACAATGGGCTTGATCAAAACCATGATAATGCAAGTACCAGTGATGACATACTGAATGGAACAAATGCAGGGGATAGCAGTGAGGAGTCATTAGTTGTTCAAGATACTTCTGCTGTAAATGGCTTGCATAACCTCCCAACTGAACCTTCAACAGCTGATGTTTCAGATGAGCTTAGCAGACAACTTGAAGACATACTGAACACATATTGCTGCAATCTGGCTGAACAGAGTTCGGCTGTACAACCTGAGGAGTCACCTGAAATGGAAGAAGCAGAAAAATGTGTTAATAGGGAGCCTCTGAGAAATGGTGTGCGAGAGATTGTATGTGGGGGGATAAATGAAGACATTGAAAAGGTTGTGAAGGCAGAGGCTCGTGTGGAAGATGTGAAAGAAAATGGAAATGTTCCTAACAACAAAGATCAGAAAAAAGCTCCAGAAAAGAAGAAAGCCAAAGCTTTAGGTAAGTTAGGTTTGGATAACAGAATAACATGTTCAGTAAGATTTTGTGACTTTTCCCTTTTCACTTTTTGGTAATTAGTGCATTTTATTAATATTCATGGTGATCCAATCAATGTTGCATTTCAAATAATCCTGGAAATGCAGAACGATAGATAAGAGAATAAAGTTAGGGTAGGTGGCGCCATTGAAGAGCCTGAGGGCCAGTCTACGTCATCTCCTCTAGCAAATCAGGACAGGACTTGTACATTTAATTGTAAGGTCCCGGGGAATGTTACCAAACAAAGAGACCTTAGGTACAGGTTCATATTTCCTTGAAGGTAGAGTCACAGCTCGACAGGATAGTAAAGAAGGCGTTTGGTATCCTGGCTTTTATTGGTCAGTGTGTTGACTATAGGAGTTGGGAGATCATGTTGCAGCTGTACAGGACATTAATTAAGCCACTTTTGGAATACTGCATTCAATTCTGGTCTCCTTGCTACAGGAAAGATGTTGTGAAACTTGAAAGGGTTCAGAAAAGATTACGAGGATTTTGCCAGAGTTGGAGGATTCGAACTACAGGGAGAGGCTGAATAGGCTAGGGCTGTTTTCCCTGGAGCGTCGGAGGCTGAGGGGGGGACCTTTTATAGAGGGTTATAAAACCATAAGGGGGCATGGATAGGGTGAATAGGCAAGGTCTTTTCCCTAGGGCACGGGAGTCCAAAACCAGAGGGCATAGTTTTAAGGTGAGAGGGGAAAGAATTAGAAGGGATCTAAGGAGCAACGTTTTCATACAGAGGGTGCTACGTGAATGGAATGAGCTGCCAGAGTAGGCGGTGGAGGCTGATATAGTTACAACATTTCAAAGGCACCTGGATGGGTATATAATTAAGAAGGGTTTGGGGATATGGACCAAATGCTGGCAAATGGGACTAGATTAATTTAGGATATCTGAATGGCGTGGACACGTTGGGCCAAAGGATTTGTTTCTGCGCTGCACATCGGTATGACTCTATAACTTCTGATTCCGTGACTGGACATGTACTGAAAAGATTCTGTGAGCAAAATTATGTATGCCAGAAGGAAAATCACAACTGCCTAGGTGCTTTTTGATTGTGGTTTTCAGAGATCGTTTGGTGTTGAATTGGTACTAAGCCAATCTGATGCACACTGTCTCATTAGATACACTGCTTTTGACTTAACCTGTATTTCCTGAACTGACTTGGGAACACAGAAACATGAAATATTAACATTCAAGTTGAGAATTATCCCAACATTGACTTTGTGCTTTGAATACCAAATACTTAGATTTAGACACTCGACCGGAAATCAACTTGGCATTTATATGTCCTTAACATTAAATTTTCATTTTCAGTAATCTAATCAGTGAATGATTTCAGTTAAATGGAAATTTAACTGAGTAGTGAATGCTTTAAGGATTAAAATATGTTTGGTGCATTTTTTTTTATAATCACTATAATAGATATTAACTTTGTTCAGTGGCTAAAGGGTAACTTGGACCTACATAACCACTGCAAGCTTATCGATACTCTCACTAAATGGAAAATTGTTGAGATATTTAGGGTGTAATAGGTAGAAGTCTGGACATCTAGCTCACTTTAGGGTACTGATCAGGACTTAAAATAAAGGGGATGGGAGACAGGTAAACTTACCTCTGTAAAAAAAAAAACAAAATTCAGTAGTCTGGATGATGAATTGGAGAAAGGTTGTCCCTGTAAGTAGAGCAGATAGCATCTCTGAAGTTACTGCTCCAATCACAGGGTGGGTCTCTACCATGCTCTGAGAAATAGAATTGCCTTTGCTGGGAGTCAATGGTTTGTGGCAAGGAGGAGATTCCACAGGGAGCACCATTTTGAAAACTCCCACAAAGGAGTACTCAACTAACTGTAAGCCGGGAAGTCTTGAGGTAATTAATACTTTGCAAATGAATGTGGTGTCTTTAGTTTGATGCTGCAAAGGTTAAGAACTACAATATGAGGGAAAATATAGTGAAGCGGGGTAGTAACTGCCTGATTAAAATCTTCTACCTTTATGTATATGCTGTGGAAACTCATTAGCTATAACCTTTGCCAGTCTGTGGACTTTTATTTGAGTCATGGGATGTGGGTGTTGTTGGCTAGACCAGCGTTTTATTGGCTATCCCTTCAGAAGGTGATGGAGAGTTGCTACCTTGAACCATTGCAGTCCATTTGGTGTAGGTACTCTGCCAAAGCCGTTGGAGGGGGAGTTCATGTATTTGACCCAGCAATGCTGAAGGAAAGGTGATATATTTCTAAGTCAGGATGATAGCCTTGGAGGGGAACTTGCAGGTGATGGCACTTCCATTTGTGTGCTACCCACCATTGTTCTTCTCTGTCAGCAGTTATGGGTTTGGAAGGTGCTGCCTAAGGAGCTTAGTGAATTTCTTCAGTGTGTTTTGTAGATGCTGTACATTGCTGCTCCTGAGCATTGGTGGTGGAATGAGTACACGTTTTTGGACGTGGTGCCTAGTAAACAGGTTATTTTGTACTGGATGGCAATGAGCTTCGAGTGCTGCAGGAGCTGCACTCATCCAGGGAAGTGGGGATTATTCCGTTACATTTCTAATTTGCCTTTTGTATAATAGACGAGCTTTGAAGAGTCAGAAGGTGAATCACTTGCAGGATTCTTAGCCTTTGACCAGCTCTTGTAGCTGCAGTATTTATATGGTGAGTTCAGTCCAGTTTCTCATCTGAGATAACTTCAGGATGTTGATGGTGGTAGATTCATGAGAGCAATCATTAGGTTCTCTCGTTGGTGATATTGCCTTGTGCTTGTGCCGTGAATGTTATTTGCCACTTTTGAACGCCTATTTATATATTACCCAGCTCTTGCTGCATTTGGGAATGCACTGCTTCAGTATCTATGCAATTGTGAATGGTGCTGAATGTTGTGAAATCATCTGAATGTCCAGTTCCTGACCTTGTAATGGAGGGAAGATCACTAATTAAGCAGCTGAAGATGCCTGGGCCTAGAACATTACTCTGAGGAACTCGGCAGTGATGTCCTGGAGCTCCGATGTCTGACCTCCAAAAACCGCAAGCAACTTTCTTTGTACGTAGAGTCTAGCTAACAGCGAATTTATCCCTGATTCTGGTTGATTCTATTTTTGGTAAGGATCCTTGATGACACACTTGGTCAAATGGAGCTTTGATGTCAAGGCAGTCACTCTGAAATTCAGCTGTTTCGTCCACATTTGAGCTAAGGTTGTAATGAGGCTAGGTGCTGAGTGATCCTAGTGGAACTGAAACTCTGTGTCAGTAAGTAGGGTATTGTCAAGTAAGTGATACTTGATACCGCTGTTGATGACATGTCCTATCACTTTGTTAATAATCAAGAGTGGATTGGTGATGTGGGATTAGCTTGGCTTTTTGTACATACCTGGCCAATTCTCCACATTGTCTCAAGCTGCTCCACTCAACACTTCTGGCTAAATATTTTTGCAAAACCTCAGCCTCGTCTCTTGCACTAATGTGCAGGGCTACCCCATTGTTAAGGATGGGGATATTTGCGCAATTTCCTCCTGCAGTCAGTTAATTGTCCACTGATATTCAGGACTCGAATGTTTAGATCTGATCTGTTGTTTGTGAAATCACTTAGCCCTGTCTGTCACTTGCTGCTTTTGCTGTTTGGCACACATGTAGTGTTGTTTTGTAGCCGCACTGAGTTGACATCTCATTCTTAAGTATGCTTGCTACCACTGTTGGCATGCCTGTCGCACTCTTCTTCAAACCAGGGTTGATGCCTGACTTGATGGTGATGGTACAGTGGGGCTTATGCTGAGCCATGAGGTTGCAGATTGTGTTGGAGTGGCAATTCTGCTGTTGCTGATGATTGCCTTATTGGCCAGTCTTTAATGTTTAGACCTGTTCGAAGTCTATACCACGGAGCATGGTGATAGTGCCACACAACATGATGAAGTGCATCCTTAATGTGAAGACGTGACTTCATCTCCACAAAGACGATGTAGTGGTAACTCTTATCAGTACTGTCATCGATAGATGCATCTCCAGTAAGAACACAGATATAGGAGCAGGAGTAGAACATCCCTCAAGTCTGCCTGCCATTCTGGAAGGTCATGGCTATTGTGGACCTTAACTATTCCTTTCCAGTTCCTTCTACACCTCAACTCATCTATTTTAAAAATCTGTCTTCATCCTCTTTAAATATTTTGTGATTTAACCTCCACACTCCCTTTGGGTTAGAGAATTCCAAACATTCAGTACCCTCTGGGAGGAAAAAAAACTTTACATTTTCCTTTTTAGATGAATATCTCTTTATTCTGTAACTGTGTTCCCTACTTTGAGATTTATTCACAAGTGGAATCCTATTCTCAAAATAGCCCAAAAGCAGAAACAAGGCCCTTCAGCCAATCGAGTATGCACTGACCTGTCTACATTAATCCCACTCTCCACCACCTGGCCCAGAGTCTTGAATATTACTTTTCAAAAGCTGCTGAGGTTTCCTGTCTCTTCTACTCTTCCAGGCAGTGCATTTCCAGATTCCCCCCACCATCTAGGTGAAAGGATTATTCCTGAAATCCCCTCTACACCTCCTGTCCTTCCCCCTAAAATTATGCCCCCTTGTTATTGACTCTTTCACTAAAGTGGACAGCTGCTTCCTGTCCACCCTGTCTATGCCCCTCAGAATTCTATACATCTCCATCAGGTCTCCCTTCAGCCCTCTCTGTTCTAAAGAAAACAACCCAAGCCTTTCTTCAGTGAAACTGCTCCATCCTAGGCAACATCCTGATGAATCTCTGCGTCCCTCCAATCCAATCACATCTTTCCTGTTGAGATAACGAGAGCTGCTTTATTGTTGTGGGCTGAAATGGCAAAAGGACTGTTTTAAAACATGAGGATGGTGAAAGGGATTACTGCACGTTTTACAAACTTGTTACTGACTTTTGTTTGTTCAACAAGTGGGGAAAGGTTAGTTGTAGATGAGCTGGCACGAGGCAGTGCGCATGAAGTAAGGTTCAGCAAA